ATTATGTGCATTGTTTGAATTTTTGTTGTAAATATTATATCCTGGTATTTTAAAATTATTATCTTTAAACCATGTCTCATTTAGAAGGCAAATATCAATATTTTGTTGTTTTAAAAATTGTATTAATAAAGGTTTTTTACTATTTGCACTTTGAATATTAAACTGAACAATACGTAGCTTGGATTGTGTAGAACTAGGCCCTACACAATCCATTATGTTAAATTTTTTAATAATGCATCTTTTATAGTTTTCATATTAGTAGGTGTACTGTCATCTTTATTGGCTAATTCCACCAACGTCTGCACTAGGGCCATAAGTACATCGTTGTTGGAAATTATTTGATTTTTAAGGTCCTTAGAAGGGACTATTTTAACTTTATTTACATCCGACTTATTTGCAGAGATATTTACAGACTTATTTACAATAACATTACTATTTACAAGTTGTGGTTTTGGTGGTGGGAGTGGAGGGAAATCTGTTTCATTGGTGGTAACTTGTTTTGTTAAGGCAACACTTGCATAAGATATGTTGCTTTTCTTTTCACTAATCTTCTTTATTTTGATAGGACATAATCTAGAAATCGCAAGATGAGGCCCACTGCAATTTATGCAGCTGATCTCAGTTGGTTTATCACATTGCTTATACAAGTGTTCACCTCCGCAAATACTACATCTTTGTTTCCCATTACAAATCTTAGCTGAATGATTGAATTTAAAACACCTATAGCACTGTAGTAAAGGTGGAATGTATTCGAAAACTCTGTACGAGAATAGATCGTATTGTACATTATTAGGCAATACATTAGATAAGAAAGTGATGCTTACAGTTTGCAATGCAATGCGCTCTTGTCCTACCTTCTTTGAAAACCTTCTTATTGCCACTATTTCATATATTGAAGAAAGTCTAGTATAAAGTTCTTTGTTAGAGATATTCGCTGGAACAAATCTAATTATGCCGGTTTTTTCAATTTGCGCTGCCGGTATGAACGCCTTCATGTCATATTTTGTCAGGAAAGTGGTATTATTAATAAAATTATTTGCCGTATTATACTGCTTGAATATTACTGCTATTTTATTGGCATTCACCCTCTGAATACCCGTCACACCTTTTATGTCCATTGCGAAAATATGATTTAAATATATAGGGCTTTTAGGGATGTTTGCTTGAGGTAGATTGCTCCAGAATTATTTGGTCGATGTTAAAATAAAACTCCCTAATTACTTGTAGAGAAGAGGTGAAGATGGAATAATGAATGATATTTATTTACAAAACTGTGTACAATTATACTTAAAAATTATCCTACACTTACAACTAATATTGACATGTGGTACCAAGATGCGGAGCGTTGATTGGTTGCGCAGGTACCAGAGTAGGCGATAAAAATGCGGCGCGGCAAAAAGTTGGCCTTTTTCTGCACGCAGCCATCTAAGCGTACGAACGTGTTCTTCTCAGAACACTTCGATATCGTAGCCTTGCGATAACGCTAATAACTGTCCTTTTCAGGACAAATTGTCGTATCACGACTAAACGTCTAACAACTGTCCTTTTCAGGACATATTATTCTTGTTTCACGACGAAAACGTTTAACAACTGTCCTTGTCAGGACGTATTACCGTGTCTTACGACACGATGAAACTGTTCTTTTCAGAACACACGACCGTAACTATTCTGATATGTTCTTGTCAGAACACATCACTGTTTCAATACGACACGTTAATCAATCACCTACAGGATTCCCCCTCTAGCGAAGCGTACCGGCAGGCGTATAACGCGGCCTCGGCGAGTTGTCCTTGTAGGTATTGAGTTGTTCCCAATGTCTTGTTGTTTCAGGTCGTTGTCATTTTGATGTTTCAGGTTGTTGTCGTTTTGATGTTTCAGGTTGTTATCGTTTTGATGTTTCAGGTTGTTGTCGTTTTGATGTTTTAGGCTATTTGATGGTTTATGTAGTTCGCTCGCACTTGATGTGAGTTGCTTGTTGCAGGTACTCGGTATTGTGTCAGTGGGCACATCTGGCTCGGCGATAGTGTAGGCGGGTTTGAGTCTGTCAATAGAGATGTTTGTTTCACGGTTAGGTAACTGCAGAGTGAATATCTTGCTGTCTCGTTTCAGTACGCGATAGGGTCCGTCGTAGGGTGCTTGTAACGGCTTCTTTACGGCGTCTATGCGTACGAATACGTATTCACATGTCTGCAGGTCGCGGTGTATGAATATAGGTTTTGTGTTTCCGTGTGGTTGGTTAGGCATTGGTTGCAAGTTACGTATTGCGTCGCGCAGCTGATTGATGTAGGCAGAGTCCATAATGACGTCATCGCGGGTCGTTGATAAGAAATCACCGGGTAAGCGTATGTTGCATCCGTAGGTAAGTTGGGCGGCGCTTACGCCGGTGTCACTTCGCATGGCGGCGCGTAATCCGAGTAGGACGGTTGGTAACTCGTTGATCCAGCTTCTTGCGGTCTGTAGTCTTGCCTTTAATGCGGCCTTAAGGACACGGTGCCATCTTTCGATGATACCGTTACACTGTGCATGGTATGATGTTGTACGCGTTTTTTCAATTCCGAGTAAGCGAGAAAGAGATGCAAATACTCTGCTTTCGAATTGGCGTCCTTGGTCCGTTGTTATTGTAGCAGGGCAACCGAAACGGGAAATCCAACCTTCGTATAATGCTTTGGCGACGTCTTCGGCTGTTATTTCGCATAATGGGTATGCTTCGGGCCATCTCGTCGCTCTGTCGATCATTGTCACAAGGTATCGATGACCGGTGGCCGCGGTAGGTAGCGGACCAACGATATCGATGTGAACGTGTTCGAATCGTTCGGTTGGTGAAAAAATTGATAATGGACTTGTTGTGTGGCGTTGTATTTTAGCGCGCTGACACTGTAGGCATACTTTTGCCCACTTGCCGACATCTGCGTTCATTGAGGGCCAAAAGTAGCGTTGCGTAATTAATTTCCTCGTGGTCTTTATTCCAGGGTGGCTAACGTTATGTACTGCGTCGAATGCGGTACGTCGGTATTCTTCAGGTAGGTACGGACGTATGTATGAGGTCGAAGTTTCGCAGAGTAATTTGGTGTTTGACGCGGGCAGGTTTACTTCCTTGAAAGATAAGTTGCTCTGTAAACCGAGTGTTTTAATGGTATCGCTGTCGCGTTCTTGAGCTATTGCAAGTTGATTGTAGTCGATCGGCGATGGACATGTGATTGCGTCGATGCGTGATAATGCGTCTGCGGCTGCATTTTGAGACCCACTGACGTGACGTATATCAGTGGTAAATTCGCTGATATAAAGTAGCTGTCGGGTGCGTCTCGGTGATTCGCTGTTTGTATTTGATTTTGTGTAAGCGAAAGTTAGCGGCTTGTGGTCCGTGAATATTATAATTTCTCGCCCCTCGAACATTTTGCGAAAATGTTTGACAGCCATGTAGATGGCGAGTAGCTCTCGATCGTAAGTACTGTAGCGAGTCTGTGCGTCGCTGAATTTCTTCGAAAAATAGCCGAGTGGTTGCCACGAGTCGTTGATAAACTGGTTGAGTGCGGCACCAGCTGTTTTGTCACTCGCGTCGCTGAATATAGCAAGCGTCGCATGGTGAGACGGATGAGCGAGTAAAGCGGCGTTTTTTATGCTCTCTTTACATGCTTCATAAGCTTGCGTCGATTCAGCGGTCCAGTCGATCTTAGTTCTGTCACGCTTCTTGATGTTGTGCAGGTAAGTATTTAGCGGCGCTTGTATGGTGGCGGCATCTTTGATATTTTCGCGGTAAAAGTTGATCATACCGAGAAAACGTCGCAGTTCCTCTACGGTTTGTGGCTTTGGAAAATCTGTGATAGCCTGTACCTTCTCTTGGGGTGGCTGTATCCCTTCCGCCGTGACTTGATGACCGAGGAATTTGACAGTTGGCTGACCGAAAACACATTTTGATGGGTTGATAGTAATGCCGTATTCTTCGAGTCGCTGTAATACGGTGCGTAGATGTTTTCGGTGCTCTTCCTCGTCTATTGACGCTATCAGTAGATCATCAACGAAAGGGAATACGAAGTCGAGTTCGCGCAGTACTTCGTGAATAAAACGTTGGAATGTCTGGCCGGCGTTCTTTAGACCAGGACACATACGCGGAAACTCGAAAAGGCCAAATGGTGTGATGATAGCTGTTTTCTCCACATCTTGCTCGCTGACTGGCAGTTGTTGATACGCGCGGTTGAGGTCGAGTGTGGAGAAAATTTTCTTTCCTGCGAGTTGATAAGTGAAATCACGTATGCGTGGTATGGGATACCGATCGGGCTTGGTTATAGCGTTGAGCCTTCGGTAATCGCCACACACGCGTAACTCTCCACTCTTCTTAGGCACGACGTGAAGAGGTGATGCCCAAGGGCTTTTGCTTGGTCTGCATAACCCTTGGTTAATCATGTTCTGAAATTCTTTCCTGACCATTTCGTAGCGATGCGGCGCAATGGGGCGTGGCCTGCAGTGAAGAGGCGGTCCATTTGTTTCAATGAAGTGTTCGACGGAATGTTTAGGACTAAGCTTCATTGAAGTGAGTCTAGTTGTGCCTGGGAAATCTGCTAGTATGCTGTGGTAATTTTGCCCAATGTCTATACTGCGAACTGTAGGTATGCCCGAAGTACTGAGTTGAGCGTTAGTTACCAGCTGTGTTTTCCCGTCGATCAATCGTCTGTTTTTTACGTCGACAATGAGGTGGTGGTACTGTAAGAAATCTGCTCCCAGGATTGGCTTGGACACATCTGCTACGACAAATTTCCATGTGTATGGTCTTCGGAGGTTAAGATCGAGTGTGAGTGACTTCTCTCCGTATGTAGGAATTACAGTGTTGTTTGCGGCGTAGAGTTGAAACGGCAGTGGTTTTTCGCGTGAGCCCTTTTTCTTTGGTAGCACGGAGATATTGGCTCCTGTGTCGACCAAAAAGGTAAGTTTCGTTACCCTGTCGGTAACGAAAAGGCGGTGTGATGATTCGGTAACGCCAGTTCCCGCCGCGGCTAGCGTTACTTTTAGTTTTCCGACTGGTTAATGGGCTTGACACTGCATGGTGGTGCGCATTTCTTCGCGTCCATACCGTAGCGTTGATGGTAGTAGCAGTACGGCATTGGAGATTTTTTTCGGTTTCGGTCTTCCATCTGCGACTCTCGTTGGTTTTCGTTACGATTTGTAGATGCGTTCTGCGAGCGTGATTGTAAACGGTGGCGAGAGCGACTGTTGCGGTAGTTGTCGCGAGGTTGTGCTCGTAGCTCAGCAACTTCCAAAGACAATCTTCTTATTTCACCGATGAGTGTGTCGATGGCTGGCTGTTGCGGATGAGGTGGTGGCACGCGGAGCGACAGTGAAATACCGGAGACTTCCTGGCTCGACGGAGTTGATGAAGTTAGACGCTCTGCACCGGAATTTTCTGTTGTTGACATCTTCAATGCTCTTGGTGTTCTTCTCGGGGATGTTCTTCTCGGGGTTGTTCTTCTCGGGGTTGTTCTTCTCGGGGTCACCACTTTAGGGATGTTTGCTTGAGGTAGATTGCTCCAGAATTATTTGGTCGATGTTAAAATAAAACTCCCTAATTACTTGTAGAAAGAAAAGAAAGAAAAGAAAGAAAAATCTTTATTTTTCTCCACAATCTTACATTGAAATTAACTAAATATTAAGAAACAGATATATTGTCGCAAGGAAACATTATAAGATTGTGAGAGACTGGTGACTGAACTAAGCAGGGCTTGTATCTCAGACCACCAACCTCTCCCCACATGGTGTAAAAAGTAGCCAGTAACAAGAGTAAATTATTAATAAGGACATTTTACAGATGTAACATGGAGAAAAGAGGTACCTAATTAAAATATGTAGGTGTGCAATCGCGCCGATATAACATCCGTGCTAATTATTATATATATTATTATATATATATATATATTAGTACTTAGATAAATATATATATATTAGTACTTAGATAAATAGATAACAGTACATAAATAAGTATAAAAAATAAATAGTAAATCAAAAATAAGCTATAAATTGTAAGTTAGACCATTGGTTGGATTAAGTTTTCAGTCTCATCATAGTTGAGACCCTGTATGTAGGCAGTAACCTTCTTTTTACAACTGAAGGATAAGAGTAAGTGAATATTCAGCTTGCGAATTAGTTTGTTGTAAATAAAAGGGCCGAGGTAACAGTAGAAGCGGTGGGAAAAGGCAGTGTAGAGAGAAGGAAGGTGAACAGGGGGTGGGCGGCGAGCAGATCGAGAGGAAGAAGGACTAGGTTTATGTTCGTGATGCTGTTTGAGGGCTGTGTTTAGGATGAACAGTTGACGTACTGTAAGCATCTGAGCTTCCTGATAGAGGGTGAAAGTAGGGAAAAGAATGGGTTTGAATAAGCAAACTTTTAGAAGAGCCCTCTGGGCACGTTCCAGGGACAGCAGATGGGTTTTGGCTGCACCACCCCAAGTGGTGATAGCATATAATAAAACAGATTGACATAATGCTAAATACATCATTCTGACTATATGAGGCTCGGCAACATGACGAATTTTCTTAAAGATAAACATGAGTTTGCGGACTCTACCACACATATTCATAAGATGGGCCTGAAACGTGAGTCGACTATCTAGTGTGATGCCAAGATACTTAACCGTACAACCTCTCTTCAATGTAGCGCAAGAGCATGGAACAGAAGGAACAGAAGAATGTGTATGGGCAGTTAAGGAATACGGGATTAAGGCTATGGGAGGAGTATATATGGAGAAGGTAAGATAGCAAGTTTTCTCTATATTAAGAGTTAATAAATTTTGGCGCAGCCAACACGAAACGATATCAAATCCGGTCTGTGCATAAGAGAAAGCTTCCCTCCAGCTTTTTGCAGAGAAAACAAGAGCAGTATCGTCGGCGTAAGAGACCAATTTGCTATTAGGTATTTTCAGGGAACACAGATCATTCATGTACACTAGGAATAGCGTAGGACCAAGAATGCTGCCCTGGGGGACTCCGAATTCCACTGGAAGGTAAGAGCTGACATGGCCATCTATCACTACACATTGACTCCGACCGCTGAGGTAACTTTTAAATAAGGAAAGTTGAACTCCTCTCACTCCAAGCGCTTCCAGTTTCTGTAGAAGGATTTGGGCCGAGACAGTGTCGAATGCCTTCGCGAGGTCTAAGAATATGCCCAGACACTTCCTATGGCTGTCCAAGTTCCTAACTATGTGATCGGTTAATTCATGGATGGCATCCGATGAAGATCTTTTAGCTCTGAAACCGAATTGATTCGGAGAAAGTAATTGTTTATCTTCCAGATAACTAACGAGACGTTTGTTTATTAGGCGTTCAAGGATCTTGGACAGTGCTGACAGAATAGAGATGGGGCGATAGTTGTCGACACTGCCACGGTTGCCGGATTTGAAAATGGGATGCACTATTGCCTTTTTAAAAGCGGATGGGAAGATTCCCGTACGCATACTTAAGTTACATACATGGGCGATTGGTGTAGCTAATATTTTAAGGTTGCGTTTAAGTATGGCAGACGTGATGTTGTCCCAACCTGCAGCACAGCTTTCTTTCAAGGAATTTATAGTGATTTCGACTTCTTCAATAGAAGTGTCGAGCATGACTAATGATTGGAGAGGAAAAGGAGGATTTGGTCGTAATGGAGGTGGAGAGTCGTGTTGATGATTGGATTGTATATTTAAGGCAAGCGCTTTTCCGATACCCACAAAGTGAGAGTTAACATGGTTTGTTGAGTCTTTTGGAATCGCTCTACATTTTAGGAGGTCACTTGGTCTATCATGTTTTTTATTAAGATTACTAACGTCTTTTATAGCTGTCCAAAGTTTTTTGGTGTTAGTTCCTGCATTTAGTAGTAGACCTTTTTCATAATTCTTTTTTAATTTCTTCAGTAGACTATTACAGAAGTTCCGGTATCTGTAGTATGTTTTGCGCAGAATATCATTTTCAGGTTGCTTTTTTAGTTTGTAATGCATTCTATCTCTATTACGTATACATTTAAGTAAGCCTGGGGTCATCCATGGCTTGATGATTTTAGTGCGGTGAGAGCGAGTCATGACGGAGGTGTGCATAGAGATAACTGATTGAAGAATTTCTATCAAATTGTTGGTTGCTTCTTCACAGTCAGTGTTATTGAGAACAGATGAAAAATCTGTATTCAGGAGAGACTGTGAGAGGCTATCATGATCCACTTTTTTGATAGATCGAGTAGGAGCAGAGTAGCGATTCTTTATATCTAAGGACATTACTACTGAACTATGATCAGTGATTGAAGAATTGATGACAAGAGTAAGAGCAGTAAGAGGTGATTTAAGAATACCGTGATCAAGACACGTAGAAGAAGGAAAACGAGTAGGGAAGGTATGAGTTGGGAGAAGCCCATGGAAAACCAACATGTTGAGATAATCTTCAGCTTCTTGGTTAAGATTCTCTGGAGTAATATCAATATTTATGTCACCTAAGATTATTATATTTTTGAAACTTTTAAGAGATTCTAGCAAGGTATTTAGAGAGTTAATAAAGTTCGTTTTATTTTTGAAAGCACTTGGTCGATAAATACCTAAAATTGCAGTATCAATATTAAGTTTAATTAAGAGAACGCTGGCTTCTGCTACAGAGGGTTCTTCAATTGAGATGCCTGTAATACAATTTTTATAGTAAACCAGGACTCCGTCATTTTTATTAACTGGGTTACAGGAAGAGATGCTGGAGAAACCTTTTATGGTTGGTATTACCGGGTTGCTTTCTAGAAAACATTCAGTGAGAATGATAATATCCGGGATAGTATGAAAATTTGTAAGTAAAATTTCAAAGTTCGCGAAATTTGCCGATAAGCTCCGAATATTTTGCGTTATAATATTTAGGACTTTATTATGTTTAGGTAAATAGTTTCGGACTTCATGTGGATCACAGCAATGGCTTGAAGCAACCGATAGATTATCGATGTTGTTTAATAATTGTCTATTATTACGATCGACGAGAGAAGAGGTGAAGATGGAATAATGAATGATATTTATTTACAAAACTGTGTACAATTATACTTAAAAATTATCCTACACTTACAACTAATATTGACATGTGGTACCAAGATGCGGAGCGTTGATTGGTTGCGCAGGTACCAGAGTAGGCGATAAAAATGCGGCGCGGCAAAAGTTGGCCTTTTTCTGCACGCAGCCATCTAAGCGTACGAACGTGTTCTTCTCAGAACACTTCGATATCGTAGCCTTGCGATAACGCTAATAACTGTCCTTTTCAGGACAAATTGTCGTATCACGACTAAACGTCTAACAACTGTCCTTTTCAGGACATATTATTCTTGTTTCACGACGAAAACGTTTAACAACTGTCCTTGTCAGGACGTATTACCGTGTCTTACGACACGATGAAACTGTTCTTTTCAGAACACACGACCGTAACTATTCTGATATGTTCTTGTCAGAACACATCACTGTTTCAATACGACACGTTAATCAATCACCTACAGGCTCTTGTTGCCCAATCTTTCGTCGTTTGTGGATTCCACATACACTTTAAAGTCTGTGTTGGTTGAGTTTTCCGGATAAAGTCTTTTATAGTCCGGTTTGTAATAGGGCAGATACGCATCTCGCTCATCGCCGCAGTCCGATCGTCCAGCGCCTACGCCTCCTCCTTCATCCGTAGGCCTTGGCCGTTTTATTGAGGCGGGCGGGTGAGACCCGCCCCCCTCGTTTACCTCCATTGCTATTGTGCTTTTCAGCAGCTAATAGCAATATTTAAATTCACTTTAACTATAAAAAATCACTATTTATAGAAAAAAATTAAAATTAAAGTCAACCGCGCTTTTTCAAGGTTCCCGCCAGAATCTGAAATTTATGACAATCCCAAAGAACAAGAAGATTGACCACAGACTACATGTTGGCGATTTAATAGTAAAAGACAGAAAAAAAAGACTTGACAGAAGAAAGACTTGCTTTTTTTAAATATTTTTTTATGAATATTAATTAATTTTGTGGTTTTTACTTAATTTTTTCGGTACTTGTGTTATTTATATATTGACAACTAACAGTGGTACAAATAAAAACCTACTTATTCAAACCTTATACTAGGAATAGTTATACTTAGAATAAGGAGATCATAATTTCTTACTTACGTGCGTTTTCCAATTACAGAGCATAATGCGACTCAGTGCCGCACAATGCCGCATAATGCTGAAGCTTAATTGGAACGTGAATTAGTTTTCAAATGCATCAGCAGAGTGCGCTAAGTCAGTGTTGAAAAAAAAAATGTTCTGAATAGAGTTAGCAACCTCATTAATGTATACATAATGTGGTAAACAATAATAATTGGTTGAAAACTTTTTACGCTTATTTTAATAATCAAATTATTTAATTAACATATTTTTACTGAAATAAGAGAAAACCTTTAAAGAATATAAGGTTTTAACAAGCTAAATTAACAGTAAAATATTTAGTTTCATGTAAGAAGTTTACATCATTTACGTTTTGTGTAATTTTTTTTAAATGATTTCTAAAAAAATTATATACTTTTTCAAAACCATTGCAATGTTTACAAAAGTATAATCCTGTAAAATAAATTTGTTTACAGATCCGAATTTTAAAATAAAATTGTATTCATATTTTAAATGTGGAATATAAAAAAGTAACTATTCGGTAATATTATTATATACCTTCATCCATACTTATATTTATTTTTTTTAGCAGTTTGAAATAACTTTAATTATTTTCAAAATCTACGACGAAACGAAAGCCTTACAAATTTTTCAACAATAAATAATATTTACTAACGAAAATTTCGATAAATGCCAACTTAAAGAAATACACTGGTTAATTTTCTGTCACTGTGTTGGTATTGATTGCGAGAAGCACGCGAGAGCATTAGTTTTGAGAGAGTTCAATTGTGCGAAGCGTTGCTGTAGTTGGAACATTCAACGTTGAGCATTATGCCGCATAATGCGCTCTAGTGCTGTAATTGGAAAACGCACTATAGACTCGTTACTACGTTGGTATAACTATTCCCCCGTTATGCCATACGTGACGGCAACGTCGCAATTCATTGATCAAATTAAGTAAAAATCAGAAACTGGTCTATGATAACCGTGGTTCTGTCAGTTTGACGTTTCCATTCGCGGTTATTTTTATCCAAGGTTGTTTGTTTTGTTTATCATAACTAGTTTTAAAAGATATTAAAATGCTAAATAGTAAAAGAGATCGCTGAACTAATTGGGAGAAAGAAGAAAAGGTATGTAGAATTGTGAATGTCGAGTAAAACTGAAACAACATTCATCGCTTTTGTTGTATTTTAATTTGTTTCTTGTGTTCGATGACAGCAACTTTTTAGAAATATATTACCCTATCTATCCATATTTAAATTGAAAACAAAGATTTAAGTACGAACAGAAATAAGGCGAAAATGAAGGCTTGGAGCGAAAACACAAGAAAAGTAAGCCACGTTTTATCAAGTATCTTTATCTGATAAAACTACATGTAATTTTTCAGATTTAATCTAGCAAATATAAGGACAAGAGACAAAAAACAATTGATGAATCAGTGGAAGTGCACTAAATTGAATACAAAAAAAGAGTTGTCATCTTATTGCCGTGAAACATCAAAAATTGGAGGTGGAACAAAGCCACCATCACCTTCTCCAGACACAATGGACGTGGAAGAGATAATACCGCAACAGTTTGAAGTAGATTTCAATGAATTTGATTGTGATGGTGTCTAGGTAGGAATGTTAATTATAAATATGATGTATGGTGATGTTCAAGGTTCAACCTCTCAAGCATAAGCATATGCTCACAACAGTACTTTATTCCCCTACAGGGTAGTCAGAGATATTCTAATACCTCAGAACATCCATATTGCACTTGTAGTACCGAAACTCTGTCCAGCCAGAAGTGAGCCCATTCCCACTTATAATGGACAGTGGGTATAATACACCTTAACACCTGAGTGCGAACCACTCAACATGATACTTTAATTAATAGATGTTATATATATATATATTTCAGGATATTACAAATAAAATCATTTTGGAAACAATTGATATCCCAAAAGCAAATAAAGCGAACAATGATAACGTGATAAATCAGTTTTGACATAACTTGAATACTAGAAAAGCCAGACAAAGGTGTGCACAACTGTGACAACATAACTTAACAATTTCATTATTTTGTAGGATTATAATCCAAAGGTTAAAGAAAATCATGTCGAACTGAACAACAAGAAACCCCAAACCACTCCAAAGAAACCTACAAGGAAGACACCGGTATTATATTTAAATTATCTCTCTCTAAATAGAATAAAAGAAAGTTGCTATCCAGGTCTGTAGCATGTGCAATTAGTTTTTGAAGGATTTGTATAATATAAATTATAATTTTTTTTAAGTTTTGCATGGACAGAGCTTACATTAATATTCTCTTATTTGTTGCAGAAAGCAAGGAGTAGTTTTAGTTTTGGAGAAGCCTCGTATCATATGCATAGCTTTCGGGATCTGGAAAATGAGCGGCCTCAAATAGAACACAAACATAGAGTTAAGAATATGGCAGAGATGCACAACCAAGTAATGACTAATTTAAAATTACAAACCGAAATTCTGATGAAGGCATTAGAGTCACTTAAAACTAAATAGTATAATGAAATAAAAATGTTTTAAAGATAAATAGTGTTTTATTTGTTTAAATAACTTAATTGTTAAAACAACCTAAATTAAGAACTATCAAACTTAAAAGTTTTCATAAATAAAAATGGCTCTCACTGCTGCTCCACGCAGTGTATTTTGAGCTGAGGGCACTGTTGGTAGTGAGGGCAGGGTCTCTTCATCATCATCAGAGATAGGTTCCTCTTTTAAAGCAATGGCTATATTGTGCAATACTGCCAAAGCTACAACATACATCTTAGTGTTTGGTAGAGATGTTCTAAATATATAATAATACTAGTGGACCCCACAGACGTTGTCCTGCATGATATTTAAAGCGATTAGGATATTAAGCAAAGTATGAAAGTACCGACTGCAGTGCCATCTGCCGGGCTGATTTGTGAATCTAAACCATTCCCAGATCCCCTTGAACACACACAAAAAATTTCATCAAAATTGGTCCAGTCGTTTAGGAGGAGTTCAGTCACATACACACGCACACAAGAAATATATATATTAAGATATACTTTTAACTTAATAAATTAATGTAAGAGAATAATAATAAATATTTATTTATTTAATTATTCAAATGTAAACTGAACTTTATTGACTATAATGACTTCTTTTCCAGTATTTGATTATTTAATTGTAATTAATTATTTGCATGCAATCAAAAACTATTTTTAATAATGCCAAAGAAGTATAACTTCTTACGCGCGTACACGCACCCTTTTTTTATTATCTTAAAACCCAGACACAGTCCTAGTCCCTAGCATTCAGGCAGGGCCTGATTAACCCTTAGGCTAATTAGGCTGAAGCCTAGGGCGCGACGATCTAGGGGGGCGCAGGTGCGCTGAAATCGTGTCTTTGCGAGCATCATCCCCTGCATAATTCAACTACACCGAGACAAAACACTAAATGAACTGTGAACTGAAAAAGCTTGGGAGTCCCTGATTTTAACAATAGATGTTGAAATTTAAAAAGCGCGCGTAAAACAAACACTGACTTGTCATTCAAATCGATCGGTGGTAGAGCGAGTGAGATGGCAATAGCACAGCTCGCTGCGCCCGGTGAAACGCATCAACGGTGCACGGGGACTCCCCGGTGGTTAACATATTTTGTAGTTTATATACTTTTCTGCGTTACATTTGTCTAATAGTTCGTTCGTCATAACATAGCTCGCGTATATTCGTTTTAGGTGATATTTATTGTCCTTTCGTAAGTGTTACTGTATTTTTTTAAGACTATGAGTGGTAATGAGAATAGTTTGATAGTAAAAAAGCCAAGTGGAGCAGAATACAGAAAAAAAGCAAAAGAAAAAGAAAAGAAGCTAGAAAACATTTTAAAAAATACTCGTAAACTCGAAACATTTTTTACAAGCTCTGCAGAAAGGAACGAAACGGTGACGAATAGTGCAGTATCTTCAGCGATTTCTTGCCCTGGTCCCTCCACCGCGGACTGTACTGTATACGTTTCTCCGTCCAACACTAGCCCTACAGTAGCAATAAGGCCGATGATCTACTATGAAAACGAAATTATAACAGAAGAAAAGCCCCCGTCAAGCATTCCGTCAAGTGACCCTGCACTATGGCAAGTAAACAATGAATTTCGAGATTATATTGCTAAAAAAGGACTGCAACAAAACGAAGAAATAGATTTTTCCAGATCAGAAAGGCAGTATAAAAATCAAAAAAGATTTCTATCTAAAAACATGTTCGAAATGAAGCTTGTTAATGGCGAAATTGTGAAGAGAAGCTGGTTAGTGTATTCAGAATCCACAGGTCACGTGTTTTGTGGTCCTTGCAAGTTATATGGAGGAACATCCGTATTTGCCAAAAGTGGATTTAATGACTGGAAAAATGCTAACCTAATAACTGATCATGACAATTCTCCGGATCATCGTAAATGTTTGGGACAATATGTATCAAGAGGAATTTTTTTACAAAGAATGGATACCCAAATAGTCAAACAATATAATGAAGAAATAACTTATTGGCGAAATGTATTACTACGTGTAATAGAAACAATAAAGTTTTTAGCTTCTCGTGGGCTTCCATTTCACGGTCAAAATGAAGTTATTGGATCTGCACTAAACGGAAATTTTCTTGGCTGTATTGAGCTTATATCTAAATTTGATCTTTTCATGGCTGAACATTTGGTAAGATTTGGGCAAAAAGGTAGAGGTTCTTCATCCTACTTGTCATCCTCTATAATCGATGAATTTATTTTACTGCTGGCTGACGAAGTTCGACTTACGATTGTAGGAGAAATAAAAAAAGCAAAATATTATTCGATAAGCATTGATTCTACTCCAGATATTTCACACAACGATCAGTTGACATTTATTATTCGTTATATTTTGCCTGACGGAGAACCTGTCGAACGCTTTGTTACATTTTTACCCAATTGCGGTCATAAAGGTGAAGACATGGAGGAGGCTGTTCTTACGACCATTAATAAAACTTTGGAACTTGATATTATAGACTGTCGTGGCCAAAGTTATGATAATGCTAGCAACATGTCTGGTCAATACAAAGGTCTTCAGTCAAGAATTAAAGCTGTAAATCCTCTGGCTACTTTTGTTCCTTGTGCAGCGCATTCTCTCCAACTCGTGGGATCAGCTGCCGCGGAAAGTAGTGACGAGTCAGCTGCTTTTTTTACACTGGAACAACAACTTTACAATTTTTTTCTGGATCTACAAGAAGATGGCAACTTTTAGTATCCAAATTAGACGAAGAATCGACGGTACTAAAAAATCTGTCAAAAACTCGATGGAGTGCGCGAGCAGATGCAAGCAAAGCCTTATACAGTTCATACAAACAGGTTCTGGAAGTATTAAACTCTATTTGCGAAGATAAAAATCAAAGTAAAGAGACTAAAATAGAAGCAAAAGCAATTTTAGAAAAAATGAAAACTCTTGAAATTGCAATAATGTTGTGCTTTTGGAACTCTGTGCTCGTCAAGTTTCAAATCGTCAGTACACAGCTACAAGGAAGTTCTGTTGATTTATCTGACGTAGTAACTCTTTATGAGACTTTACATGCTTATCTTGATACGTTGCGTAACGAAAAAGAGTTTGAAAATTTTGAATCAGAAGCAATTAAGAGATGCGAAGTGACCAAATACAAAAAAGACGTAAGAAGAAGAAAGAAACCAAAACTTCATTTTGATGAAATTAAAACGGGGCACATTGAGTTAGAAGGGAGGCGATCTTTCATTGTTGATAATTGTTATGTACCTATCGACTGTCTTAAAGTACACTTAAAAAACCGCCAAATTATTTATAATACAGTAAACACAACGTTTTGTTTCTTATGGAAACTGCATGAACTAGACGACAATGAATTTATTAGAAGCAAAGCAAATGAGTTAAAACAACTATATGCCACTGATTTAGGAGAAACCTTTGCAGAAGAATGCGTCCATTTGGCGCAGTTTTTAAAATCTGACATCGAGGCCGAGCATTCTATTTTCGCCAGAACCCCAAAGGGTTTGTTGCAGTTGATAAAAAGTTTTAATATTTCATGCATGTTCCCGAATGTGGAGATAATATTAAGAATTTTTTTGACAATGAATGTTACAAACTGTAGCGGCGAAAGATCTTTTTCAGCTCTTAAAAGAGTAAAAAATTACTTGCGCTCCACACTCCGCCAGCAAAAACTTACAGCGCTCTCGCTTATGTACATAGAAAGTGACTTTTTACAAACTATTAAATTTGAAAATATTGTGGAAAAATTTGCAAACTCTAAAGCAAGAAAAAGGCCTTTTGTATAAGCTTATAATAATTAGGTAATTACTGTAATTTTCAAATAAATCATTAATCATTAGAAAAAATGTTTCACTTGTATGATTCCTCTCGTCTTTTTAAAGATAACAACATAAGTGTAAATATTTTAAAATCACTTAAGTCGAAGCAACATCACATACTAGATGACCACGTCCATGGTTGGTTTAGACCGACCGTAATACACCTGTCACCTGGCGGGGGCGCATCCTGGTAAATAGCCTAGAGCGGTCAGAACTCTTGATCAGTCCCTGCATTCAGGAGGTTAACTGATGTTGTATGAAAATGACAGTCCGTGTCGCCAAATTTTACCACCGGTATGTATGTTATATTAATACGTCTTAAATAGTATCTGATTAGGTTAAAAACTAAATTTAGGTTGGGATGGGATATGGGATTACATAATATATAAATAATGGGGTTAAATAATACACTTTTTCGATTTTAGTTTTTTACTTAAGGAATATTACACGAAATAATACTATAGCTATGCTTAATATAGTTTTATTTTAACAATATAGCTATTTTTGTACTGGGTTTCAAAAAAAACTTGTTTCAGGCGTGACCCGCTCTCCCATCCAATTTGTATGGAAATAGTGACGTCACAAGCGGAAATATAACTTTCCCATACAATTTCAATAAAATAATATTCACTTAATTTCTATAATTCAATTAATGTAAATAACGTACTAAATTCTTTCGTCTGTTAAATTCGTTACTTAGGTCGTTCAAGAAAAGAGCGTACCAATAATTCTTAAAAGGCCGGAAACGTACTTGCGAGCCTTCTGGCAATGTCTCTCATACTTGTCCATAAGCAGCGGTAGCACTTAACATCAGATGAGGCTCCTGCCCGTTTGCTCCCAGTTATATAATTTTTAAAGATAAGCAATCCACTTGATTGCGATTTAAAATAGTATTTTTAACTGTTTACCAAAATGATGATCGGTTTTATGTCTATAGTTGAAATTTGTCAATACATATTTAAATTATAAAGAATATATTTTTAAATTTAGCCTGGCAGCCACATATTCTACATTTTGTGACTAATATTTTCACAAATTTCCTGAAAACTAAAACTCATACAAATACTCGTATAATAGATGCGTATTCCAAATAAAGGAACAGTTTCAAGATTAACATTCGATAAGTAGTCATTGTAAATACTTTTGGAAGGTATATTTTTTTATTACTTTTATTTAATGTACTTTTTATTACCTTATATACAGGTCGTAATTATCACATTTCAAAATAATAATGAACCGGTTTATAAGAAAACTTTCTTTCATTTTGATATTTGACATAAACGACAATCTGAATTCTGAACTTGACACTTGAAAAAATGGCGGTCATCTATTATTGCTTAATAAGTTTTGGCTGGAATCCATTTTCATCTGCTCGGTAGAATACGTGGATCAACTGTAAAATAAAAATTGTAAATCTTTAATTTGGAGAGTACTCGACTTATTCTATATTATCGCTAAAAGGCTATTCTCAAAGGAATTAAGTAGATTAACACGCACCAGTGCAGTGACGCCAACTTGGGGGATTTTCTCCCAAATTTAGGGTGGTTCTGGGGTGTTCTCATATCACTATTATATCAAATCCAATACGTATTTGTCGGAAGGATAGGTGCTGATCTTCTTCCGACCTAAAGAGAGGATCCTCGATCAATAAGCACTGACTGATTGGCCGAAGGCCCCAGTGTTGAGAAGTTTTATATATCCTTAGCGATGGAAATAACTTTAACTTAAGTTTTTAGCGCGTTACGCAGTAGCCGTAAAATGATGGGGTCGCTACTCACAGCACACAAGTAATATGCGAGATGGTATTTCCTACTACTCTAAGGGCAATAGCGCACTAGCGGCCAGGCCGCAGCGGCCAGGTCGCGGCGGCCATCGAGATAGAAACCATAGTATGAAATCGCCATATAGCACGCGCACCTGGCCGCACGCGGCCAGCGGCCACACCGAGCCGCAGCGGCCAGCAAGATCGAAGCGACGCATTTGCGGCCCGTGTTCGGTCGCTGGTCGCTGCGGCCACTGGGATCAATTGCATTGTAGTTAAATAAGCAGTGTGCGCGCACTAGCCGCGGCGGCCGCACGTATTGTGGAACTACAGCGTGTTTTGTAATCATTGCGATGTCTTTCGACACGGAAAGATTTATAACCGAGATTGAGACAAGGAGGGCGTTGTGGGACATGGCCTGTGAAGACTATGCCAACCGTGACTTAAAGAGGATGATGTGGGAAGAGATTATAGAAATATTTAGTACTGAAAAATTAACAATAACTGAAAAAAACGAAGGTCGGTGAAATAAGTATGAAATAATCCCTTTGTTCGCCTTTCACGTAGTAAGGGATGGACCCAATATTTTTTCCTTTTCTTTTTCTGCTTCTTACTAAGATACAAAAGCACTGCTATTTCCTCAACGTCCATTTTGAAGCGCGCTGTATAAGCAACTGACTATCGTAGCCGCAGTTTTGGCCGCGTTGCAAATCGCAACCCCTGCGGCCGGGCCGCGCGCGTAAGAGTGAAATTAAAAATTGCGAACTATGAAGTCTAATTTTGAATGTCCGAATCATATCACTATAGACCAGTGCAGATAGCCTTTAAAATAAATAAAAAGTGAAAAAAATTACAGTAGGATGAAACCCATTAGAAAAGCAGGGGAATATGATCAAAATGAAAGGAAAAATAAATTACGGTCGATCTGAGGTCGGGAAGGGGTAGGGGGGGAGTTTTAAAGGTAAAAAACGGTTTATCTCGATTTCCGGCAAAACTACAAGTCCTATCGAAGAAAGTTAAATGGCAAAGTTGGAGGTAATAAAAAGATCTAAAACTTTTGTATTCACACATTTTTCACATAACCTCAAAATTTATGTGATTATTTTTCCGACCCAAATATCGACCAATAGAATTGCACCATTCGACGTCACGTGGTACAACCTACATGGTATTATACTGATAATTTTTTGAAAATTTTCTCTGGTAGTTGCTTCAAGAAAAGTATTAAGTAGTTGTTTTATTCATTATGAAATTCTTATTTGTTAACTGTACATTTCGTCTCATGGTGCAATTCTATTGGCCGACATTTGGGTCGGAAAAATAATCCCCCGAATACCACACGAGCTTCAAAATTATCTGGCATTTCCCCCAAGGTTCCCTGCAAACAAATAAAGTCGTCAAGTTTTTCAGGTTAATTTCAGTTTTTTAGGGTGTTTTTTCGATATTAATTCAAAATAAGGTGAACAAATAAATATTTTTAATCAAATAAATTACAGTGTATTTGGGACATAGAAAGGTAAGTTTTCACCAAATTTCGTTAAAAAAAATATATTTTTGTTAAAGATAAAAATTAAAAACCAAAAACTTGGTTTTTTGAATTTTTCACATAAATTTTGAGGTTATGTGAAAAATGTGTGAATACAAAAGTTTTAGATCTTTTTATTACTTACAACTTTGCCATTTAACTTTCTTCGATAGGACTTTTAGTTTTGCCGGAAATCGAGATAAACCGTTTTTTACCCTTAAAACTCCCCCCTACCCCTTCCCGACCTCAGATCGCCCGTAAATTATTTTTCCTTTAATTTTTATAATATTCTCCTCCTTTTCCAATAGGTTTCATCCTACTATAATTTTTTTAGGTTTCAAAAATTATCGGCACTGGTCTACTATGAGCTTATTTTATTTTAGTATAGTAGTTTTTTTTTATTCTCGATACCTGGTCTTCACATATAAAATAATTATATAATCAATGTATACAGAAAATTGTAAAAACTATTTTAAGAGTGAGTATGGAGTTTCTTACCCATTTTTCTCCATATGAAACTACCTTTTGGAAGGGGCAACTAGGCATTTTTTTTTTAATATTTCTAACTTGTAATTCTGACTTTCAAAAGTGCCTTTTTAATAAGCCATTGAAATAAATGGTTTGACTTTGATGTATCTGTACATATATCTATATGATATATCTTCTATCTCTATTTCATGTGGGTATGTGGTACTAAAAAATACGTGTAGTAAACTATACGAATCGTAGAATCGGATCAGTCTGAAATCGGATTGTAAATAACCTGTCCATCTGGAGCGGTGTACTGGTACTGGCCTTCAACAACCAGAGCTGGTACTCCGGAGGCAGCTGGCTGGAGAGACCCTCGCTGCTCGTGGTATATACCACCATCTGGAAGGTCAATAGGAAAGTTCAAGTGTCCGACATGGTATAAGGAAGATTTAAGGAGTTTTGATGTTAAATGACCTCATTATATATAGTTATTGAATGAATCATTAAAATCTGTATTGGTTTTTGTTGGATATAGTTTATATCTGTAGACAATATTATATAAATTAAGTTGGTAACATTACCTTTCAAGATGACTAATACTTTTGAAAAATATCGTGTCATGTTGTTCCACTAATTAAACTATAAGTCCATAAATGTATTACTTTTTATTTATATAACAATAGTTGTACAGAGTACCGAGACTTACTCAATTCTTCTGCACTTGGGTATTTTGCCTTCAGTAGGGAAATCTATAAAACCGGTCCTTTTCTATTACTTTAATATACCATATGTCTAAACAGCCTATAGCAATAGTAACGCAAGTACAAACTAGTTATTATGTTGTATTTTTTACTTGTTTTATTCATTACCTTGCAATATTAAGGCATCTTCGTGATAAATCACGTGCAAGCAATCCCAGTTTGTAAACAAAAGAACAGATTTCTTAGAAAGTTCGGTACGTATGATGCCGGCAGTCGAGTATGTTATTTAATTGTTGTCACTTCTCGTTACTGCCAGTGGGTGTAATGCTATGAAGAGTTTATCATTGTATGGAAGACAAGCTAAACCAAATAAAGCCGAGTGATTTCGACGCTTTACGAGGTTTGACGTTAAATCGAGTGACGCTACATGGTTTAACGTTACAAGTTGGCGCCTGGTAGATAGTACCGGTGAAAATTGTAAATATTCTATGATCTATTACCCATTTTTTAATGCTTGTGCCATAAAAATGGTTATTACCTGTCTGAAACGCCCATCGGTAGGACCCATCTGCGCCTGGAGTGTCAAAATCGTTTCGTACTATGACTTCTCCCTGCGATTGCGTCACTAATGTCAACTGAAATACATAAAATTCTATGAATAATTTAAATAAATGTAATCTTCAAACGACTAACATTACTTATTATATAAAACAAGAGGTCTTCGGGGAAAACATCGGTGTCGCTGATGGCTAAAAAGCACTCTAAACTACTAAAAAAAAGGGTGCGTGTACTTATGTACGCGCGTAAGAAGTTATACTTCTTTGGCATTATTAAAAATAGTTTTTTGATTGCATGCAAATAATTAATTACAATTAAATAATCAGAGACTGGAAAAGGAGTCATTATAGTCAATAAAGTTCAGTTTACATTTGAAAAATTAAACATAAATTCTATTATTATTCGAATGTTGTTTTTAAATTATGTCCAATGCCGTAGCATCTTTCGTGAGCAACTTCATTCTGTTAATTTTGTGTCACGGTTCACTCTCATCAATTTTTCATAACGCGCCTAACTTCAATAAATTCCCATTTCTCTGTTATTTAATTCCAGTCTTAGACCCAAAACATTTTGTCTATTAAGGCAAATATAAAATAACAAAAGTACATACAAAGAGTAAATAATAATAATATATTAGACCTCCCAAATTCCATGGTTGAGTACTGTTTAGCTGTATGGGCCCCGATATACAAAATTGATACAGATAGATTAGACATACAAAGGCTATTGTTAGAGCTTTATGCTCAAAGTATGGTCTTAGGCGCAAAATAAAGCAATATGACCAGCGTCTTGCCCACTTTCAGATGGTAAGTCTTGCAAGGAGAAGATGGATGAGCGACCTGTGCACTTTACATAAAATAGCAAATGGCTCACTTGACAGCTATCTTTTGGATAAACTTGACATCAAGGTACCGACGCGTTCTGTGCGTAACCCACAACTATTTATGATACCCACAAGTAACAACACAAGTAACAATGTATCCCAGAATGGTCCGGTCGCTAGAATGTCCAAGTATTATAATTCTGTGTGTTCTCATGTTGATATTGTTCACAATAGTATTGATAAATTTAAAAAGATTATTCCTGGTGAAAACTTGTAACCTGAATAACTTATTTTTTTGTCATTAAATTTAATATATGTACATATTATTTACTGAATGTAATTGTTAATTTTTAGTAAACCAGCACTGAAGATTCCACTCAAATGCTGTACAGATCTAATTAGACTTTAGGTTTACATATACCTATGTTGTTTAGTGTATAATAACTGTATGTATTTAACCAATCTGTTTTCCTTCAAAAAGACTTCTTCAAGGTAATCCATAAAAAACTGTGCTCATTTGGCTTTGGCCCGTGTGCAACAGTGTACCCAGATCATTCGATTCTGAGCTAAAAGAACGGTTACCAAATAATAAAACGCTAACCAAATACATACATTTACATAATTTGAATGTAACCGATAACTCCCGATAACTCCCCATAAGTGTCCCTGACTCCCTGTGGCTTTGAAGAAAGTAGACTTCGACACTATGGCCTCTATTGCCAAAAGAGTACAGATCGTTCACTCGCCACGCATCGCTCAACGACATTTTACGCTGCTCTCTTGCCCCCGTAAATGTTCCAGCCATTTTGGAGCCAACAGGCATTGCAAGAGACGATGGCAAGCGGCCGGATGGGATGTCGTTAATCCCTTGGAAGATGAGACGGGCTTTGGTATGGGATGCTACTTGTGTGGACTCGTTTGCCCTCGCACCTCCCTCGGACGAGCAAAAAAGCTGGGGCAGCGGCAGAGCAGGCGGAAAATAATGAACAAATATAAGAACTCCTTCAACTGCTATTTAGTTCCCTTTGAAGTAGAAACTCTTGGGCCGTGGCGTTCAAATGCACATGCGCTAATTAAAGATTTACGAGTGACTCCAGAGCTGCCCTGCGATTCTGTAACTCGCTGGTACTTTCCTCGCTCAACGAATAAGTATCGTATTACAGCGAGGAAATGCTACCAGCGCAATTTTTTATTATTATTAGGAACTATGTAGGTTAAGAAAATTGTAAATTCTGTATATTTGATTGTTATGATTACCAATAAACTAACCGATAACATACATTGTAACTAAATATATATATGTTCCACTCGTCTCTTTCACGAGCTTTATTTTTATCATAGGAAAATATAGTCGAATGTACGATTCATAAATTACCTATCGCTCTATTGTCTTTTATTTGTCCAAATCGAAACCGGATTGCTAGCTATCAATTCAATAATTCTTGAATAATTTAGCAATTTATTAACAATACAAGTACAGATTGAAGATAATAATTTAATATACCTAGATAGATAATAAAAATATATATTTGCATATTTCTGTATAATTTAACCGACGTCAAAATAATTATTAGTTAAATCTGTTTCGTTCAATTCGATATTTTGAAAATAGGCCAAGCTTTTAGCTTAGGAACATGACGTGTATTTCTTTATAGTACAGAAGGCAAACGGGCAGAAAGTTCACATGATGTTAAGTGATACCGCCCCCCATGTACACTGCCAGAAGGTTTGCAAGTGCGTTGCTGGCCTTTTAGGAACTGGTACGCTCTGTATGTGTATGTTTGTCAACAAATATCACGGAAACTAAACATAATTTCGATTTAAATTAGGTATGTTTCACATTTCGAAAGTTTTATCAAAATCTAATACATTATTTATTATTAAGAAAAATCTTTATTATATTTAAATAGGATTATTTTATCTTTAACTCTACAATGACATTATGAAATCGCTTCGTGAGGTCAAAGGTTAATGCCGAATACTTTGCTTTTTATGTCCACACACCTACAGATGGTCGCATTGTTTTTGAATTTGCATAACGAATTGTTTAAGCCACTCGTTGTGCAACTGTCTAAAGGAATTTTGTGTATTTATTTAAAAGCTTACATAAACACACGAAAATAACAATAAAAACTGATTATACCCTTTCAAAAATCAAACGGCCGTTTCTCCACTGCTCCGGTCCGGCAAACGTTAATTACCGATCCGATTTAGAAACTCACAACAGTACTTACGTGCTTCTCCACTACTCCGGCATCCGGTTTTTAACTATCCGATAACTTGCTAGATCGCTACGCGACGTTTTATCGGTCCAAGTTTATCCAAGTATCCAAGATGTTATAAATTATTATTCACAGGTTTATTTTTATAGTTTGTTTAATTTTAAAGAATCTGGATAACCTGGACCAAACCAAATTATGATGCTATTTATTTATATTTTTATACCATAGTATTAGTGAACTATTTATTATGTATATTGTAATATTTGAAGATAGACAATATAAAAAAGTAATAAACTTGCCAGGGCAATAAAATATTCAGAATTTAGAACGTTTTATTAATAAAATAAAGTATTTGGGTTTTAGTTAATATAGGTGTTGCATGATAAATATATACAAGTATCGATTATTGTCGGATCGGATATAGTGGAGAAGCGCTATCCGGCCTACCGATATTTTTCTCATGACTCATTCCGGTATCCGACGCCGGACCGGAGCAGTGGAGAAAGGGCATAAACAATAAACTACAAGCTCCCACCTTTTCAGAATGCCAAATCATAAAATGACTGCTTCACGCAGTGGCGTAGCTAGGTGACCAAGGGCCCTGGGGCAAATTAAAAAATGGGGCCCCACTGCTATGTAAACTGATTAGGTTTTATCAAATTAAAATATGAAATATACAAATAATTTAAAAATGCTAAGCTACGTAAGCTTTAATTTGTGCAGGGCAGGTAATAAAAATATTAATTAGTAACAACGTAAATTACAATTAATACTTGATGTAGGTTTGGCGAATAAAATGAGTAGAACCTCTATAAGTCGAACATCAAGGGAGACGCCAAAAAATTCGAGTTATAGAGTTTTCAACTTATGGAGGATTTCGACTTAGGCGGATTTTGATTCGACATAAAGAGTTTGAGGTTTATTCTTATACATTTTGAGTTAGAGAGGTAAAATAAATAAAAATTCAACTTGCAGAGGTGACAAACATATTTTTATTTATTATAAATCAACATTATTTCAAATCATTTTAAAATAAAAAATATGGCATTAATAAAAGTCAGTAATTTTTTTTTGATTTAGATAATTTGGTTATTCTCTATCTATAGCATTGTCTAATCTATAAAGAGCAGAAAATTCTTCTTCTTCAGAGTTACTGGTTTGCTCTGTAAAATTACGTAAGGTATTCAATGCGGTTCGCGCCTCTTTGATGGAAACCCATGGAGCGCATGTACTATTCACGTCTTCTATGTCATCTAAATCATTAGTATCGGTTTTCTGAGCTACTGAATCGATAATTTCGTCATCACTTTTCCATTTGTTACAGGTTTTAATGTTGACACTTGCACTTTCCCCACAAACATTTTTAAAAACAAGTTTCTGTCTTCTTTTGAATTTTTCTAACCATCCATTACTGGCTCTGAAATTAACGAGTCCCAATGATTTAGAGAATATTTGGGCTTTTTCTTGTAACAGTGGTCCACTAACACTAATATTTTGGCTGCGACACTGCTCAAACCATTTAAGTAAGCACTCCTCCAAGCCCGGATATTCTGCAATTCGTCGTCTTTTGCAGGACAAACTTTGACCGTTTTGTATTTTTCTCATGATGTCTGATTCATTTTTTATTATTGTTGAAAGAGTACTCATTGGCAGGCCAAATTGTTCAGCAACATCTTTCTTTTTTTGACAGCTCTTCACAGCTTCGAGCACTTCTAATTTTTCAGCAAGACTCAAAGTTTTTAGTTTACGTTTCACAGCACTCATGTTAACTGTTGTACTAATTGATGTGTATTGCAGTAGAACCAAACTACTTCTGACAGTATTTAAGTCGAAAACAAATGACTGGCTTAGCTAAATTTCCAAGGGAATCAAAATTGAACACCTGACACAAAGCAAGCAAACACGTGTTTCCATGAGTCATAAATTTATTATTGTATACTCCTAAAATGTTTTCTAAGAAACAATAGTGTACTCACATTGGCGGCAAGTTCTTAAAGTCGGTAACTTATTTTTGTTCGAACAATAGAGATAA